ATACATTTGTATGTATGTATGTATGTATGTATATATGTATATATTATATATATGCATGTATGTATGTTTTTATGTATGTATGTATGTCTGTATATATGTATGTATGTATGTCTATATGCGCGGATACTTACACAAACACACACTCGTAGCAAGCGAAACACTGTTAGATATTGCCTTGAGAGTCATACCGTGCACGTTGACCCCGGTGTAGCAGGATGCAATCCTAGTGACCTATTCATCTGTTACTGAGCACTGCAGCTATTGATGCAACATTCATACGCACCCCCTACTCCAGGTATTCTGATTGGCTTGACGCGTGTCACCGACTACGCCCATCATCCGTGGGATGTTGTGACAGGTAGGTATATTCACTCGTGCTTCTGCACCTTTGACTACAACCAGGCCCGAGACCTCAGTTGGTCCGCTAAACCGTGTTTGCCGATTCAAACATTTCTCCTCCTATTGCTATTTGCTGTCAGCGCACTAGAACCCAAGTTCATTCGATGCACATATGTAGGTAATTTTGAGATCATGGGTTGGAAAAGCCATACTGCAAATGTTCCCCAATTGTTTGGTATAGACATCAGTCGTTGGCCGAGCCATACAAAAGTATACCTACATACATATTCTCATCTGTACAGCATGATCGTGGCTCTTCCAGTCTTGTTCACTACGTTGTAATATGTATTGGATCACACACCTATTCCACCTAATCTATTTCATCTCCAGGCTGGTTTGTCGGATTTCTGTTTGCCTTCCTGTGCTTCCCTCGTGCTGCTATGTTACAACCGTATTTAGTCGCTGGGCTGAAACGACCGAGTGGGAAGACTCAAACTGTAGCGACATCAAACCCAGTACCCGGTACAGCAACAGCAGAGGGTCCTACAGTGTTTGTGTAGCGTGTGCGTTGCCCTATTAATATTTCATTAACGTACGATTGTAATGATATTAGTATGGTAGATCTGGAGATGTGAAACTTATCAGGTCAATAATCCCAGTGATCCATTGAGAGTTGGAATACGGGTCACCACATCAAAGTACAAAGCTTCGGATATTGGAAACAAAGATAGAACGTATCGCATCAACCGCAAGACTTCTAGATGCGAATATATTCTCATCCTTTCATTCTTAGTTTGTGAACCCTGGTTACCATGCTACTCCGGCTGGCATTGATACAGTTTGGTCGAGTTGCTACTTCGAATAAGGATATGATGTGCATTACTTGTTTTATTTAACGTTTTTCACGGCATCACTTGGGGTTTTCACGTTTTTCACGCTTGCTGGATCTCCCATCTGAGTCTATCTACTCGCCCTGCTTGTACAACTCTGGTACGGCTGTCACAGTACTATCTACAGCTTCAACAGGTGGTCCATCATAACGTTTTGGTCGGGACTTTTTTACGATGTATATGAGCGATGTTATGCCATACCAATATGTAGGGGTTGAGCCTGTTGCTTTAAGTTTATATTGATAGGAGAGCCAATTCTCTCACAAGACGTTCTTTGCACATCCATGTAAATGGGTTATGGCGAAGTACTAGGCCAGCACATACTGTGTGTGTTATTTTGCAATTGGGTGGAGGCCAATTCATGCGATGATTCCATCGTATATATCGACAATCTTCATTGGCCATATATACTCTGAATATCAATCTTCTGTTCTGGAGTGTCGATCAGAAAAAGTTAAAGAACTATCATTATAACTATAAATTTATATGGTGTCGCCATATCATGAACCGATACAAAGAGGACGTCCATTGCAAGGTCAAAGAAATATAACGGATTTCACACAAGTGATCGATACAGATGCTATACTATGCTGCCGACCTTGGCGAGCTCTATCTCATGTCAACGTGTAGGGGTGCAGGCGCTAAAAAGGCTTCTAAGGCCATTTGGGACTTCGAAGCTTCAGTTGAAAGGTGATGGCTGATAAATGTAGTCATGAATGATGATACCAGAAACAAGATGCAAAATATACTATGACAACACGTGCGGTAATGTTATGGTGGCCAAGACCCTATTTTTAAACCCGCACAGAATAGGTAACATATTTATACTCACATGTAAAACTAGACCTCCTTATGGTGAATACTGACTACGGGATATGCGTTTTTACAGGACATATTCCACGGGTGGATATGGAGCAGAGTTATTAACAGATTGTAGGAGTTATAATAGAATATATATATATACATACATATATATATATATATATATATATATATATAATTAGATATATATAGATAAATATATATATATTATTAGTAATATATAATAATAA